CGCGGCCGCGGCCCCGCCCGCTCTGCCGGGTCCGTGCGCGGCCCCGCCGCGCCCTGCACGGCGCGGATGCGCGCGGGAACCCGCGCGGGCACGCCGCCCCCGTGCCCCAACCCCCGCCCGCGCCCCCCTCTCTATTTGTTTACAGCCGATTACGTCCCGGCCCGGCCGGCCCCGCCCCGCCGCGGGTCGCGCTGTCAGGGGCCGCTGCGTCCTGCCCTGCGCCCCCTCCCCGGCCCCGCGCCGCCCCGTCATTCATTCGCCACTTTCCCCCGTCCTTCGCCCCCCACCGCGATCCGTGTCCTGCCCCGGCCCTTCCCTTCCTCTTTCTGTTTTGATCTTCTTTTAGCCCCCTTCGCCCCCCTCTCCTCGCCCTGCGCCCCCCCCTCACTTTCTCTGGGTCCTTGTGTGTGTTTCAGGCCTTCAAGGAAAAGTTGCAAACTCCCGAGTTGTTGCTGCTGTGAGGGAGCAGGTGCCTGGAAGGAGGGAGCAGGTGTCTGGAAGGAGGGAGCGATGTAGGAGGTGCCCGGGCTCAGGGAGGTTCGGGGGACACATGGAGAGGGTGTGGGAATGGCAGGGCTAGGCCGGCCAGCCCTCGCCGGGTGTTCAGGGCAGAGGCTCCGAGCCCTCCCTCCGGAGGGAAGGGGGATTGATCACGGTGTTTAATTTTTATAACAAGAAAAACAACAAAAATAACCAAAAGTGAAGGAAAAAACCCACCCCAGCCCTACCCCAGCTGCCCAAGGATGGAGTTGGAGTAGCCAAGCCCGGCTGGATGCTGGGGAAGGGGTTGGCGCCCGCACACATGAAGAGACTCCCCGAGTTGTTTGGCTTCGCGAGGAGATAAGGCCAGTGGAGCTCCATGTTTTTAAAGGTGGGCCGTGTATGATGAAACCCAACTTCTTTTAAAGTGTAGCAGATTTAATTTTTATGGCCAAATGACAGCTTGACCCAGTTGTTATCCAATCAAAGGGCATTTTTTTGAATGTCTCTTTGTGGCACAACGGCCAACGCAAAAATGATGGCGGCTTACAATGGCGGTACGTCTGCGGCAGCAGCAGGTCACCACCACCACCATCACCACCACCTTCCTCACCTCCCTCCTCCTCACCTCCATCACCACCACCATGCTCAGCACCACCTGCACGCCGGCTCAGCCGCGGTGCACCCCGTGCAGCAGCATGCCTCCTCGGCCGCCGCGGCCGCCGCAGCCGCGGCCGCCGCCGCCGCGATGTTGAACCCAGGGCAGCAGCAGCCGTACTTCCCATCCCCGGCCCCGGGCCAGGCCCCCGGACCGGCTGCAGCAGCCCCAGCTCAGGTACAGGCTGCAGCAGCTGCTGCAGTCAAAGCGCACCATCATCAGCACTCACAACATCCACAGCAGCAACTGGACATTGAGCCGGACAGACCCATCGGATACGGAGCCTTTGGTGTTGTCTGGTGAGTAGAGACAAAAGTGAACCGATACGTCCTTGTCATTCTTTACCTGGTCATAACTCATCCTTGTTTTTGTCATTTGAATCAGAATACAAGAGAGCTGCTACTACGAGTGTTTTTGCCGATTCTTCTCCGTTCTTAGAAAGTTGCTTCGCTTGTTTGCGTTGGCAGAACGAGGTTCCCAGTGGTGAGGAGCCACTTCTGACTAACAGCCCACCCTGCCGTTCTCTTCTGAGACAATGCAGCTTGTTTATGCCCTTTCTGTACCTTTAATTAGAGTGTGCATCCGTGCAGCTAAGCCGTGCTTCCTAAAATTTCAGGTTAACAAATGAGCGTTAGAATATTCATTTTGACCTGGCTTAAGAGTCAGAAATGAAAAGCGTATGAAAATGTCTTCCTTGTGCAGTCACCTGTCAAGATCTTTGTCTCACTGCGGTTTGACCCGCAGTAGTGCTGTGTGCTACCTAAAACAGCACAGCTGAACTTTGCTCCCCTCTCAAAAATGGAAATGGGATTTCCTGCCTCGCTCTAGCTCTGCCTTAGCTCTGCCTCCGGCCCTTTTATCCCCCAGCCGCGTTTCAGAGGAGTCTGTCAGCAGAGTGGAATCTCTTCTAATGCATTTTGTGACTACCTTAGAGCTATGTATGTAATTAGTGCCCTTCAGGAGCACTGGCACAGAACTGGCAGCAGTATATATATATATATATATATTTGTATGTAAATGTTTCTCCTCAGTGCGCCCTATTCTGAGCTGTGCCTGGGAAGCATAGGGGGTGTTCTGGAGAGCAGGCGTGTTGCAGCACACTTCCTGCAGCACAGATGCAAAGTTTGCAGCGTGCAGCCGTGTGTGGTGTCCCAGCCCTGTGCAGCGTGCCCGGCCGAGCCTCGGGGCTACCCCAGCAGCTTTGCTTTAGGCACTGGCCGAGCTGCAGCTTCACTGACAGGAGTGGCTGGGTCACGGTCTGTGGCAGAGGCAGAGGGCACAGCAGGCCAGGCCTCAGGAGAGAAAACCCTTCTGCCTGCAGCCCGGCCCTCCAAGCTGGCCACGGTTAGCAGCCCAGTGCTGGTAGAATGGTGCTTTGTGAGGAGGCCGAGGGAGCTGCAGCAGCGAGGTGCAGGTCAGTGTTGTGGTTGCTCTCGTGTGCCTTCCCTCAGACTGGGGAGTTCATTTAAACACCGAGTTCTCCCAGTCAGAGGGGAGCTGTTGTGCAGTCAGCACTGCTGTGCTCTGGCTGTGGTACAGCATTAAAAAGTGGGTGTAAAAGAATGAAAACTGACAAGGAATCTGCTGTTAAAATTGTCTAAAGGTATTTCCATCAGTTTGTATATTTTGTAAAGTATGGAGCTTTTATAACTTAATTTGTTACGGTCTTTGCTTAAATGTATGTTGTTATGTAAGATCAGCCCTTTTTACCGGTGTTTTGTTTGCCTGTGCATTTCCCAGCTCTTTATTTTCCCCCTTCTGTTCGCCAAAAAACAAGGTGCAGAGAGAGATCTGCTTCCACAGTATTCAGTAGAATGAAAGGTCACGCTTGCATATTTAAATAGAATATCATGAAGAGTGCTGAGGGGAGGAAGGCAGTGTGGAGGGCACGGTCTGACTGCCATCAGGTAGCAAAGGCAGTGCCAAAAGCATCCGCCCATCCCGAGCTGTGCACCTGCGGCCGCCCCTGGGGGGCTGTGCCTGCAGAGCTGCAGCTTTGCTTGGAGGTAACAGCAGCTTGGGAAAGAGAAAACAACAAAGGGGGAGGCTGTCGGCTAAAAGCAGAAGCTGGGAGCTGGGATCCCGCCGGCAGAGCTGGGGCTGCCCTGGCTGAGGATGCCATTGGTGGGACTGAGTTCCTCTTTGCTCACGTGTGTTTCAATTCGGTGGTCACTGCTCGGCTTTGGGCATTTCGTATTAACTTCTGTCGTAAGTGCAGGCTCTTTAGGAGTCTGTAAGCAATAATTAAACTGAATTTTAGTTTCATACAAAATGTGGAAGAATGCCCATGTAACTGAATTTCAGCTATGTGAGATAAGTAAACACTGAGTTGAGTATTTATAGTTTGAGGTGACTTGGACACGAGCAATGTGCACTTGGGTTCAGGCATGACACAGGATGCACAAAGCCTGAGCGACTTTGGAAAGAGGATTCTCTTGTTTCTCAGTATCTTGTCTGAGCATGATTTGTGCTAATAGGTAACTGAAAAGTTTCTATCAGTGCTTCTGAGGGAAATGGATATTATTCCATAGACAGCTGGAGTATTTGCAGAAGTCTTTAATTTTCTACTCTGATGTTTGGGAGGTAGAGCTGACCTGCAGCTCGGTTCAGGGCATCAGACAGTGATCAGTGTGTGGTGTTGCACTTCCTGTTACCTCAGCGAGAGAGATTCTCTCTTGGCAGTTGAATTAGCATTTGTCATTAGTTCATTTGTCTGGTGCTCCATGGTGTTTGGGGTAGCTAATGTGCTGCTGGAGTTCCTCACTCGTGAAGGGCCAAAGGCTCGTGCTTCAGCACTTTGAATAT